GTATCTCATATTTAATATGAAAAATGGTTAACTTTTACAACTATAGAACATATTTTCAGAAAAAAGACTTTGAGACATGAAAAAAAGAAACAAGAAAGCAATAAATGCAAACATGTACATATGCACCGTATCTGCAACCATATTCTGTATAGCATGCACCACAAAGTTAAAAGACATGCCACAAGAAGAAGACATCTACAACTCAAATAACTGGCTGAGAATGAGTACCCAAGATGCATAAGGAATGCTTTTAATAAAAGGAAAAATATTTTAAAAGGCAAAGACTATGAACACACAATAATGAGTATCAATAGCTAATACAAATTAAGGATGAAACTAAGCTTCACTAAAACTTGGAAAGGATTTAAGAAAGTACAAATTACTATGCATTACAGAGTATAACTACAATCTTATGCAACCAATTTTGGAAAGCAGAGACCTGAAGCAATATGACAAAATATTAACATTAGTCAAATTTGAGTTGTAAACAAAAAGATGGCTTGATTTTTATCTATAGTTTGCTAAGCACTTCAGTGTATTTTATAATTTAAGAAAACAGTTCATACCATGTTTTCCCTGATCTGTAGTAATTAATAGAGCACAACAAATATAATGTATATGAGCACAATTGACATTTTAAGCACTGATTATTGTTTACAGCCCTTGTCTCTGCTTTTGAGAAACAGTTTTTTTTTTCTTCTTACTATTTGTTGAATATTTAGTGGAAGGTTAATCTTATGATTATAAAATAAACTGGAAGTATGTTATTGTAATAATTAAAAGCAGCAGCTGGCACTACGGCAGTCAGTTAAGCCATGGCCTTATGGATACCAGTTCAAGTCTTGGCTGTTCCACTTCCAATCCAGTTCCCTGATAATGTGCCTGAGAAAGTAGTGAGGATGGCCCAAGTGCTTGGGCCCTTGCAGCCACATGACAGATCTGGAAAAAGCTCCTGGCTTCAGCCTGGCCCAGTCTCAGTCTTTTCATTCATTTGGGGAATGAACCACAGATCAAAGATCTCTTTTTCTAACACTGCCTTTCAAGTAAACAGATCAATCTTAAAAAAGAAAAACAATTACAAGAAAGCAAGGAATAGGGAGGGTGAGAGTGTGGGTAGGAGGCAGGGTAGGATGGGAAGTATCATTAGGTGCTAAATCTGTATATATGAAATACATGAAATTTATTCACCTTATATAAATTTTATAAAACACAAAAAAAATTCATGACATTCCAGTTACTACTAATTATACATTGTCTTAGAGCTATTACAAATTTGTATGACCCAATTAAATCTAAAACTTCAATCTGAATTAATGTCATAAAGAGTTATACCACACTTATCTGTACAAGGCACTGAGCTACTGTTAGCTACGGATATAAACTTTAAAAGAAATGGACCTCTGGGGATCGCCCTGGCCTGAAGCACCGGCATCCCATGTGGGCGCCAGTTTGAGATCCAGCTGCTCCACTTCCAATCCAGCTCTGCTATGGCCTGAGAAAGCAGTAGAAGATGGCCCGAGTCCTTGGGCCCCTGCACCCACGTGGGAGACATGGAGGAAGCTCCTGGCTCCTGGCTTTGGATTGGCTCAGCTCTGGCCGTTGCGGCCATCTGAGGGAGTGAACCAGCGAATGGAAGACTCTCTCTCTCTCTCTGCCTCTCCTTTGTGTGTAACTTGGACTTTCAAATAAATAAATAAAATCTTAAAAAAAAGAAATGAACCTCCAAAAATGCATTTTACCTAGTTGTTAAGATACCTGCATTCTTGGGGCCGGCACCATGGCTCACTTGGTTAATCCTCCACCTGTGGCGCTGGCATCCCATATGGGCGCCGGTTCTAGTCCCAGCTGCTCCTCTTCCAATCCAGCTCTCTGCTGTGGCCTGTGAAAGCAGAAGATGGCCCGGGCGCTGGGGCCCCTGCACCCACATGGGAGATCAGGAAGAAGCACCTAGCTCCTGGCTTCCGATCAGCCCAGCTCCAGCCTTTGTGGCCATCTAGGGGTGAACCAGTGGAAGGAGGACCTCTCTCTCTGTCTCTTCCTCTCACTACCTGTAACTCTACCTCTCAAATAAATAAAGTCTTTAAAAAAAAAAAAAAAAAAGATACCTGTATTCCACATCAGAGTACCTGGGTTCAATTCTCAGGCCTGGGTTTTCACTCCAGATTCCTGTGAATGAAGACCCTGAGAAGCAGCAGTGATGGCTCCAGTGACTGGGTTTCTGCCACTCACATGCGAGACCTGAATTGAGTTTCCAGCTCCTTGGCTCTAGCCAATGTCTAGCCCAGGCCTGGCCCTTGTGAGCATCTGGAAACTGAAACAGCAGATGCGAGCTCTGTCTTTTTCTAACTTTGGGCCATAAAATAAATAAAATTTTGAAAAAGAAATTGCTCAGATTTTCCCATCTAGTAGAATGTCACAAACCAATTTTGTTACATGCCAAGAGAAGTGTTAAGCAATATTTTTATTTCAAAACAAAATTTTTCAAAGTACATTTCCTCCATTAAAAAAAAAAAAAAACACCTAAGAAGCAGATCTACAATGTTCTTCAATCTTGGAATTGTGGTAAATATTGAAGTATAATTTAGAAATATCATCTGGATATGCACTGTGCACTGTGGGTTAAGCCACCATCTGCAGCACTGGCATCCAATAGGGGGACTGATTCAAGTCTCAGCTGCTCCACTTCTGATCCAGCTCCCTGTCAGTGCACCTGGGAAAGCAACAGACCATAGCCAAAGTGCTGGGTCTCCTGTACCCACCTGGAAGAAGCTTTTGACTCCTGGTTTCAGCCTGTCCCAACTCAGGGCATTGTAGCCATTTGGGGAATGAATCAGTAGATTGAAGATTCTCTCATTCTCATTCATCTCATTCATTCTCTCCCCCCCACCACCTTCCTCTTTCCCCCTTCTAATGCTGACTTTCAAATAAATAAATAAATATTTTTTAAAAATATCATCTGGAAAGTATAACATAATACACAGTATTCTCTCATGATCTCACATTTTTAAATCAAAGTTTGAGTCAATATTTTAAAAACAAGAAAGCTAGGCCGGCAACGCGGCTCAATAGGCTAATCCTCCACCTAGCGGCGCCGGCACACCGGGTTCTAGTCCCGGTCAGGCGCCGGATTCTTTCCCGGTTGCCCCTCTTCCAGGCCAGCTCTCTGCTGTGGCCCGGGAAGGCAGTGGAGGATGGCCCAAGTGCTTGGGCCCTGCACCCCATGGGAGACCAGGAGAAGCACCTGGCTCCTGCCATCGGATCAGCGCGGTGCGCGGCCGCCAGCGGCCATTGGAGGGGTGAACCAACGGCAACGGCAAAAGGAAGACCTTTCTCCTGTCTCTCTTTCTCACTATCCACTCTGCCTGTCAAAAACAAAAACAAAAACAAAAACAAAAAAACAAAAAAAAAACAAAGCAAGCAAGCAAGCAAGCTATACAACTTATAATTCCAGTTCTTTCAAAGAAAAAATCAGCACAGTACACCATATACATCATGTATCAAAATAACAAAAGCAGAGATGGACAGGTATGACACCCCTTGGGACACTGGCATCTTCTAAGGGAATGCCTGGGTTTGGGTCCTGCCTCTGCTTCTAATGCCAGTTTCCTGATAATGTGTACCATGGAAGGCAGCAAGTGATAGCTTAAGTATTTGGGTCCCTGCCTCCCCATGGCAGACCCAAACTGAGTTCCAGGCTCCTATGTTTGGCCTGGTTCAGTCTCAGCTGTTGCAGGCATTCAGTGAATCAGTGAATAGAAGAACTTGCTCTGTCTGTATCATTTTGTCTCACTGCCTTTCAAATGAAATGAAAATAAATTTTTTAAAAGACACATCAAAAGCAAATCGAAGGTTTTTCTTCCCGTTTATCCTGCTATGTTTTCTCAGTTTTCATTAGAGGAAGCAGAACTTCTCTATTTCTGAGGGAATATAATGAGAAAACCAATTTCTGAATAAATGTGTAGGATTAAAATGACATTTGGATTTTCCTAAGACTATCTAAATCATCTTTGCCTTTTTAAACCAATTTTAAATATAATTGTTTTACTTTTACAGCTACAATATAATGTAAGCATAAGTTTTTACTTCAACCTAATAAGAACTTTATATAAAAAATAGGTATAGCCTCTATGTAGAAGATATTTGTAAAGTGTCACTAGAAATTCTTTTTCTTTGCCTACAAGTAGAAATGTTTTCTCCATTTTTCTATCAACGCTAAAATTCACTTAATGAAAGGATTCTATTAGTTGCTATTTGACCATTCTTTGAAGCTAGTATCCACATCTGCCACACCTTTAACTATCACATGGATGAAGTACTGATGATAATATTAGTAATAATCACACCTCCTCATATCTACGTAAGGTCACAGTTCACAACATTCCTTCAAAAACACCATCTTGTTAGATATCAACAAGGCACAGAGAAGGTGAACTACCTGAAGAAGGGGATTATTTCCTTTATCCAAAGACTGAATGCTCTAAAGCACATAACAGAAAGAACGCGGGGCATCTAGGTTGAAGGATGAATCAAGAACACTTTAAACACTAACCACTAAATAGAAATGGTGAGGGATTACATGTTCAGTCGTACCTCATTCTCCTCTGAACAAGATTCTCTGATATTATGTCATCAATGTTAAGAATTCTAGTAATATAAAAAAAAATTTGCCCAATTTTCAATTTACTGCCCATTGCTTTCAAGAGTTCTTTAGGATTTAAATGTAAAGGAAAATGTGTGTCAACAGAGTTCTGCATGTTACCTAAGGTGAGACAAAGATTTGGAGAATGGACGATGGACAGTATATCTGAGTGTGTGGAAAAGAGTGGGGAAGGGAGACAGAGAAATAGACATTAACTATTAAGAAATATGAATGAAACATCATGCAAGACCTGTTTAAAAATAAATGCTTAAAGAAAATTGAAAAAGAATGGCTTTATAACCCATAATGGCCACTGAGTAAAAAGAAGATACTTCTTAATTACTTCAATTTAAGAAATTACCTGCGGTGTCCAAGAAACAGGAAATGGAACAGGAAAATCCACAAAACAATCTGGTGATTCTGCAGGGTACTATGAAAAAAGCATAAAATCAGGTCATTTCTGCTTCTGTGAGAGAATTTCAGGTGAGGCATTTTAGAAAAACTGAATACATTAAAAAAAGCATTATTATTACTTTAAATGTATCATACACAAATATCTTTATTCTACTATCATAGTAAAGTCGAATACTGGATGATGTAGGGGTGCCAAGAGTCAGGCATTCAAAGGAATGAACGTTCAGGTCAGCAGCAATTGTGATCTCAGCGATGAACCAAAAAGAACTCGGTTTATCTTCAAGAAGAGCAATCTAACAAGCTGATATTTAATTACCTTCCAGTCTAAAATTTAGCTTCAGTAAGCTTCAGTCATTATTAAAATACATAGTATTTGTTAAAGAAATCAAGAAATGTAAAAAAATCACTGTATATATAACTATTAATGTAAAAACAACTTTCCATGTTAAAGCAACTACTTTAAGCAAGACAAAGAAAAGGAAATAATGAAATGTCTTCAGGCTAATAAAAAAAACAACTTTGCCAAAGGTGGAAAACAGAAAATTAATTCTTCAATTAGTGACCACAAAAGTGATATTCATGAGGTTTCTGAGTTGTCAAAGACAACTTCATGATGACTCTAAAATCTAATGCTGGACTCTTGAAAGTCATGTATAATTAAAAGTATTCATTTTTTCCCATTAAAAAACTAAACTGGAGTGAGCATTTGGCCTGGAAGTTAAGATGCTTAGTTGGAATGCACACATCTCCCACTGGAGTTACAGTTCCAACTCCACTCTTGATCCTAGCTTCTTACTAAAGCAGAACCTGGAAGGCAGATGATGCCTCAATTACTTGGGTCCCTCCACATGAGAGACACTTGGAATGAGTTCTCAGCTCCCAGCTCTGGCCTGGGCTAGCCCTGGCTATTCTTCTGAGCATTTGGGGACTGAAGTCGTGGATGGAAGATCTCAGGGTGTGTGTGTGTATTGTAAATAAATGAAGTTTCACCTCACCCCAGTTAGAATAGCTCTCATATAGAAATCAACAAACAATAAATGCTGGCAAGGATGTGAGGAAAAATGTACCCTACTACATTGTTGGTGTAGTACAGTAAATAAATAATTTTTAAATACTCTACGGAAAGAAAATTTGTCTTAGGAAAACTTCCATTTGACAAACGTCCAACAAAAATCTTAAATTTTCAATTTGCAGCCTTTTATTTTATAGTACTTTGTTATGTAAACAAAAGGGAAAAATATTGCTGTAATATTTAAAAAACATCAGTACATTTAAAGGTAATATTTTCTAAAGGACTAACATTTGCTACAATACAGATTTCTTAAAAAGAAGCTTACTTTTAATGGTATACACACTGTGACTAATGGCAGCTGGCTATGTAGATAGCACACAGGCATATATATGGAAAACCATATAACATATTCTAGTATTTTAATTTTGAAAAAATCTAAAAAAGGAAAAGGTCAAGCAGAGATTAAGGGAGGATGCTCTGTTTCAGGCATCTCAAAATATCAGCTGTTACACTTCAAAGTTTAATTGCTACAGTCACTAAGAAAGGGGCCAGCACTATGGGATAGCAGGGTAAGCCTGGGCATCCCACATGTGCACCAATTCAAGTCCCAGCAGCTCCATTGCCAATCTAGCTCCCTGCTAATGCACCTGGGATGGCCCAAGTGTTTGGGTCCCTGCACCCAAATGGGAGTCATGGAAGCAGCTCCTGGTTCCTGGCTTCCATCTGGCCCAGCCTCGGCCACTGCTTCCATTTGGGGAGAGAACCAGCAGATGGAAGAGTTCTCTGTCTCTCCTCTCTCTGGGTAACTCTGCCTTTCAAATGAATAAATTAATCTTTAAAATAAAAAATCACCAGGAAAATGATTTGTATTTAAAAGTCATGTGACTATTTCAAATTAAATGCAGTTTTCTCTGGTTCTAACTTTGTTAACTAATTTTTATTCTCTTGAATTAATTTCTCTAGCTACTTCACACATAAAACAGTTGGAACTCCAAAGTGTTACAAAATTTTTTTCTCTAAAATGTCAAGATTGTTTAAAATTAATAATGCACAGGTGAAGCCCCCAAGGGTGGAAAACAGATTTTTACCATGACAGCTGTTACTCATCTAGAGATGCTAACAAAGAAGTCTCAACCCTTTAATGTAAATTAATCATCAAACTGGATAGAGTAAGTCATTACTAAAATGCTTACTGGTTTTGGAGTCAATACACCAAGCAAAATACAGGCCTTGGAAGTCATTAAGTACATGCACAGTTTATTATGCTAGAAGGCAGTAAGATCCTACATCTTATTCAGGACCCAGTATAGTAAGTAGTACAAGCAAACTGACATAGAAAGAAATCCACAAATACTTAAACAAGTTTAAAGACAGGTACTAATAAATACAGTACTATCCCATACACATAAACAATTCCGCTATATACTTCTGGGGATGTCATCTTTAAAATATATTTTTATACTAGTAACAGTGCAAATATACAAATATGTATATAATAAATTGGACTAACCTATATGCAAGTGGCTTTGCTGCATATCTATGATTTAAATGAATAGATATGTATTAAATTTGCCAATTAGTTTTACATGTAAAGTCAATTTTGTTTATAACTTTAATAAACTTCAATCATTAAAGTTTAACTTTAGCAGTCTCAAAAGCTCCACTTTTAAAACTATTAACTGAAAAATAAGTACAGTATTTAATTATGTTTAAGTAGTTTTCCAAATCTCACTTGAATTAATCAATTCAATAACTATAAAAGAATGTAACTATATGTTAATTATATAAATTTGTTACAGTATTTTATAAGACATTATTATATATTTTTATAACACACAGTATTGTGTAAACTCTAGAAACTCTATAATATATATTATTCTAAGGAAAATTTTAACCAAGTCTGTCCCATGCTGGACCATCTAAGCAATAAGGCTGGCCCCAAGTGAACACATAAAAATTGTAATGGTGACAGAGGACCAAGCCTGATACAGTATCTGTGATTGTTTTTCAAAAAGTTCGTATCTTGGTTAAAGCTGTATAATCCTGGGCTCCTTCTTTTGTAAAGAAAAGATCATTCCATCCCATAGTTGAGGATGTACTATAAGTATCATGTGAAAATACACTTAAAAAAAACCACACAATCCAACTATTTCCTTTTTTTCATTTATATATTCAGTTCTACTATGATTAATAATGTGCTCAATCTTAATTAGTATCATTAAGATTAATAGTATTGTGTTCTTAGCTGGTCTTAAGAGACAAAAGTAAGTAGAATTATAAGAGTATACATTCCAGAATAAAAAGAAATATATCAAAAAAAGTTAAAGAAATAGAGATTTATATATTTATGAAGATACGTCTTCTTTAAAAAATTCAGTTTAAAACAGTATGGATTAGATTTTGCATTACATACTCTTAACATGTAAGCTATCACTGTTTTAAATTCATAATCTCAGACCCAAATACTCCTCAAAAGAGAAATTACTGCATCTTAAAGGCAGCTAAACTAAAAGGAAAAATATAAATATTCATAAATCATACCAACATAAGAGAGTAAAATCTTGTTTAAAAAAATAAAGACAAAACTTTCTTTCTTAACTCCTTCTGAGCTCAATTAAAGCTTTCTTTTCCTCTTTGCCAGGACATCCATAAGACTACTTGCTAGCAAAAGATGTTAATAAACTGACACAGAGAAACACTTTCCAGAAAAACAAAAGTATCATATTATCTACACTGAGAATGTGTCATAAAAAAAAAAAAAGACAGAAGGGACCATATCACAGGCCACACATCCTCATTCTCAATACTATTAATAAGTGAAATAAATGTCATCAGCCTAGATTAATACTAAAATCTTATAGGCATAGTTAAAGGCAGAATTAAAGCATTATCTCCTTTGTAGAAGGACTGGTAAAAAATGAAGGAAGACTGTATTTAAAATCTTTGATTTTTGGTTTTGATAAAGTAGCAAAGCAAGCTTTATCAATGCACAAAAGCTTTGAAGGAAATGACAGCACCCTTGCCACTGGCGGCATGAGACCTTTGAGAAGGATAAAGGCAGATTTCTCCTGGATTTTTAAGAAAGTACACCTTCCAAAACTTAAAAGGAAAATAAAAATCTTTTTATTTTAATAAAAATCACCATCTAACTTGCTTTACACATAAGGTCTCTATCCACCAATTTTTTTTTTCAAGACTTATCACACATGGGTCTTAAACTTATACCTAAGTATTCTGTGTGTAAGAGTGTGAGAGAATGAGTCATTTCTCAACCTGTCTGATACAGAGCCACTGGAAGATATCAACATTTCTGTGTCACCCAGTACAGCTTTATATATTAATTTTCTCTTGTGGAGAGCTTAAATGCCAGACACATTTTTAAAAAGGACAAACACAATTGATCTTTTCATCACTACAATCTTCTGAAATAGAGTTGATTGATGACTCCTGGAAACAATAAAAAAAAAAGTTGGACATCTTGGTTTTCTTCAAATTCTTATGTTTCTCCAGTGATTACTAAGTAAATGATTAATATACTGAATTTACTCATTTCTATTTCTTGAAATTCACCATCTAGAAGTAAAAATCAAAGAAGAAACAGCCCTGTTTTATACCAATAAAATTAGTGAATAGTTACAGATCTATCCTGTAAGGGCTCTACAGAAGCATTTTATAAAAAGGTTTGTATAACCTTTGCAAGTTCTTAAAATACCTAAGTCAAAACTTCAGCCAGAACAATTAAAATTGTGTGTTTGTGTGTACACACGTGTGTAGGCACGCACTTGCCTGTTGTGGGGAGGGCAATCAAATAAGAACTATAAAGGTTAATTCACAATCATAGTAAGAGTTGAAGGCAAAAAGCTCTCCCCACAGAACTTTATCTGGAATAGTGGAAGCACTCACCTCATTTCTGCTTGCTGTGGTCAGTTACAAAAATAACGTAACAGCACTTTGAGGTTGCCAAATCTTATTTGTAAAATTTATCATAAAAGTCTATATTCTGGCCAAATTTCAGCTAGAATAGTGACATAAAACTGTATCCAGGCTTCCCGACACCTGGTAAATACATTCTCTGAGGGCTTCCAAAATGAATTTTTAAAAGCATCATATATGTATTTATAGAAGCAACTAGCACTTCTTTAAATTGAAAACACTGGGTTCAATTCACAGGTATTTCCTGACCACAGTTAACAGTGTAATGAGGCACGTACCTTCGCCTTTAACTTGAGGGTGAGTAGATGCTCTCTACCAGAAGCATCTTCTGCTTTTAACTTGATGGTACTGAAGCAAGAATCCACATACACAAGTCTGGGGTGTAAAAGAGAATAAAAAAATGATCACACTGGGGAGGGCTTCACATGGGCAGAACTGAAGATGGTAAGATTCAAAATAAAAACATTTGCTATATTTCTATTAATCCATTACAAAAATTAATCAGAGGACTTTCTGCATGCCAACCTTTCTGCTGCTATAGATTTACTGCCGTTAATACACCAGCCTAGTGCTTAATGCAGCCATAGATCTCTGGATTATTTACAATGTGTGTCAAGGCTCATGCTGTGGTCAGTGAGCACTGTGTTTCGGTTTTCCATCACTGGAACCTCTGGCACACACAGCATGTTCTTGTCAGCCTCTACTTATGTACACATTAAACTTCCTGTCAAACTCTTTGATCCATTTCTGTAGTTTCATACAGTATGAGACTTTTATGCTTCCTTTATTTGTTTTTCTCCTCGATGAACTTCTCCTTTATTATCAATTATGTTACTGTACAAAAGTCTGACTGATATTAGTTCATATACTCAAATTGATCCTCTAAGGAAAATGCTGTATAAGCACAGGTACAGCCTGGTCTCCTAACAATAAATTTTATTTTTGCACAATATATAGCTTCTGACACTTAACCTAGGCATGCATTCAAGATGACTAATAATTTAAATATACAGTACAAGCACAATTGTTTTTGCTTTAAGTTGCTCTAAATGCATGAATTTTCTACAATGGAAACCAATACTCTCTGAAATACATCATTCTGTAAAAATATGGTCCCTTGGGTAGCATAAGCTACTGCCAAAAAGGTTCAAATTTAGCAGTATATTTACTAGTGAGTCGGGCATGTGGATTTTTTTTTGACATTTTTACAATACTGTACCCTTGTAAAGATAAAAGTAGCCTAAGAGTATTGCATGACTTAACGCCCCTAAGACCCTTTAGAGTTCAGACCCAACATTTGCCTCCTAACCCAGGAAATATTTTTTAACATCACACTATGCCGTTTACTTAGTGACCAGATATAGAGTAAAATGGGCCGATTTCAACAAATGCTGAGCAATACAGTTATGGAACACTGTAATGAAAAAGAGATCTTGTGGGGAGCAGCCCGGACTGGACTGAGTTACTGGAATTAAGACTTATTCTATGCATCTGCTCTCCCACAATATGGCGCTGGGAGAGAAGTAAACAGCTTCCGCACAGCTGCCTCCAGTTCAACCAATAAACTGTAGGACTTGCTCCTGATTGGAGAGCAGCGTACTCGCCGTGTGGGCAGCCGAGTTGGGATTGGCGGAGGAGGACTATAAAGGAGGAGAGAGACGGCATGCACCAGGAACATCTAAGGGGAACACCTAAGGGAACACCTGTGCAGCCCCCAGAGAGCCGGCCGGCGGTGTGCCGCTCCCCTGCGGAAGTTGGGAATGTGGCCAGGGGGAACTGCCCTTCCACGGAGGTGGAAGGGATAGTAGCCAACCCGGGAAGAACCAGCAGAAAACCCGGGGAGGGCCGAGCAGACGAAAGAACAGCGCAGGGTCCTGTGTCGTTCCTCCACGAAGACGGGGAGCGACATAATGGTGCCGTGACTCGGATATGAAGCCTAGGCAGGGTTTAGTGTTGCTCCTCCACGAAGAGGGGGAGCGACAGATCTAAATTTGGAGAAGATGCATATGTTAAGTAACAAATTGAAAAATAAACCAAAATCCATCAATAGAAAATTTATCATTAACTAGAAAAAGCCCAAAGCCTTAGCAAATGAACACCAAATTATTCTGGGCAGAAATGTTTATTTACACAAAAATAATAGTAACTAATCTTTATTTTCTGTCAGCTGTATCTGTAAACATATAAACCTCACTCCCACCTCAAAACAACCAAAACATCAGTTGTTGTGTTTTATCCTATTACTTTAAGATTCATACTATGAGTATTTGACTGAAAATTTCCACACTTCACATATTTAGATTAACACACACATTTGTCTTCTCACCAAAAACACTCATTTAAAAATCAATTTAAAAAGGCATGAACCATAAAGGCAGAGGCAGAGAGAGAGAGAGAGAGAGAGAGAGAGAGAGAGAAGTCTTCCCTCCACTGGTTCACTCCCCAAATGGCCACAATGGCCAGAACTGAGTCAATCTGAAGCCAGGAGCCAGGAGCTTCTTCCAGGTCTCCCACATGGGTGACAGAGGCCTAAGCACTTGGGTCATCTTCTACTGCTTTCCCAGGCCATAGCAGAGAGCAGGATCAGAAACGGAGCAGCTGGGACTTGAACCAGCACCCATATGGGATGCCGGCGCTGCAGGCAGCGGCTTTACCCACTAGATGAACAACTTAATATGTTATCCCTCTTAGTATTTTTGTTTGTTCTACTTAATACTTTTGGTTGAATACTGTAATCAATACACAATTCTTCTTAAGTGCTGAAACTTAACTGAAAAGTGATCGCTGTTAAATATAAGAGTGGGAATAAGAGAGGGAAGAGATGTGCAATTCAGGACATGCTCAAGCTGACTTACCTCAAACGGTAGAGTTAGAAACACACCAGGGGATTCCAAGTCAATCTCATCAAGGTGGCATGTACCAATGCCATCTCACTAGTCCCAGTGATCAATTTCTGTTCACAATTGATCATAACAATAGGACTAAGAACCAAAGGGATCACATAAACAAGACTAGTGTCTGCAAATACTAGCTGATAGAATAAAAAAGGGAGAGAATGATCCAACAAGGGAAGCGAGATACACAGCAGACCCATAGAATGGCAGCTGTCCTAAACAGCACTCTGGCATCAGAATCAGCCCTTAAGGCATGCGGATCCGGCTGAAATGCCCATGAGACTATTTCAGGCATGGAAAGCCAAGACACTCGGGGAGGGGGGGGGGGGAACCTAAATGAAAGATCTCCGCGAGTAAGATCCCAGTGGAAAGAACAGGTCATCAAAGGAGGTACCTTTCTCTTAAGGGAAGAGAGAACTTCCACTTTGACCACGGCCTTGTCTAAATATGATCAGAGTCGGTGAACTCAGGGGCTTCCATAGCCTTGGCAGCTCATGACAAGAGCCTAGGGTGATTACTGATGCCATAAACAAGAGTGTCAATTTGTTAAGTCAACAACAGGAGTCACTGTGCACTTACTCCTCATGTAGGATCTCTGTCCTTAGTGTGCTGTACATTGAGATTTAATGCTATAACTAGTACTCAAACAGTATTTTTCACTTCATGTTTCTGTGTGGGAGCAAACTGTTGAAATCTTTACTTAATGTATGCTAAACTGACCTTCTGTATATAAAGAGAATCGAAAATGAATCTTGATGTGAATGGAAGGGGAGAGGGAGTGGGAAAGGGGAGGGTTGCGGGTGGGAGGGAAGTTATGGGGGGGTGGAAGCCATTGTAATCCATAAGCTGTACTTTGGAAATTTATATTCATTAAATAAAAGTTAAAAAAAAAAGGCATGAACCCACAATAATAAGGATTAGTATTAATTAAAGCCAATTCTCAACAACTTTTATGAAAACGGCAAGTAGCTAAAAGAGCACTAAATGAGGCTGGCATTGTGGCATGGCAGGTAAAGCCGCCACCTGCAGTGCCAACATCCCATATGGGTGCCAGTTTGAGACCTGGCTACTCCACTTCCCATTCCAGCCCTCTGCTATAGCCTGGGAAAGCAGTGGGAGATGGCCCAAGTGCTTGGGCCCCTGCTCCCACGTGGGAGACCCAGAAGAAGCTCCTGGCTTTGGATCAGCTCAGCTCCAGCCATTGTGGCCAATTGGGGAGTGAACCAGTAGATGGTCAACCAGCACATGGAAGATCTCCCTCCCTCCCTCCCGGCCTCACTTTCTCTCTGTAACTCTTTCAAATAAATAAATATCCTTAAAAAAAGAAAAAGCACTGAATGAAAAAGAAAAAGAGGGCCCAAGAAGGGAGCAGTTGGCAACAGCAGTCTCAAGACCAGAGAGTCTGACTGATACACTGGTAGAAATCATGGGGCATTTTCTTAAAGGGCAAGAAACCAAAACAAGGACACTTTAAACTGTAAATAATAAAGCTGTGTTACAAATTATAACTGTTTGGTGAAAAATTATAACAAAAAATTAAACTGTAATTTTTAGAATTCAGCAATAGGCAAAGCTGAAGCTACTGTTAATATATGTATTAGACCATTATAATTTAAAAGGAAGAGATGACAAAAACTGGCAAGTGGAGAGGAGGAAGATATCAGGAGGGAAGATAAGTAACAACAGGATCTGTAATGCTTATTTGAGAGTTTAGAGTACCACGTTTAACTGAATGGATGTGAAAAAAGACTAAGAACTATTAAAGCTAATAAATTTTAAAATAAGGAAGAAAGGTAGCATATGAGCTAAGTGTTTTTTGTTAAAGTAATTAGTAATTCCTAGCACTAATAAATTAAGAAACACTAAATGCATATTATTTATGCATGGAATATATATACCTTAACATTTCAAAATGACCCAAAGAATAAAACTGGGGCTAAGAAACAGTATGGGAAAAGACTGCGTTTCATTATAAGCTGTGGGGAGCAATCCGGACTAGACTGAGTTACTGGAATTAAGACTTATTCTATGCATCTGCTCTCCCACAGTATGGCGCTGGGAGAGAAGTAAACAGCTTTTACACAGCTGCCTCCAGTTCAACCAATAAACTGTAGGACTTGCTCCTGATTGGAGAGCAGCGTACTCGCCGTGTGGGTAGCCGAGTTGGGATTGGCGGAGGAGGACTATAAAGGAGGAGAGAGACGGCATGCACCAGGAACATCTAAGGGGAACATCTAGTTGAAGGAACACCTGTGCAGCCCCCAGAGAGCCGGCCGGCGGTGTGCCGCTCCCCTGCGGAAGTGGGGAATGTGGCCAGGGGGAACTGCCCTTCCACGGAGGTGGAAGGGATGGTAGCCAACCCGGGAAGAACCAACAGCAAACCCGGGGAGGGCCGAGCAGACGAAAGAACAGCGCAGGGGCTTAGTGTCGTTCCCCCACGAAGAGGGGGAGCGACAATAAGCCCTAAACATAATGATGATG